AGGTCTGTGAATCGCCAGGTTTACACACTTCACAGCACTCACCATAGCACATATCCTCCCCAATGTCCATAACCCCACCCCCTCCCCCCCAGCAACCCTCGGTTTGTTTTGTGAGATTAAGAGGCACTTATGTTTGTCTCCCTCCTGATCCCATCTTCTTTCATTTATTCTTTTCCTACACCCAAACCCCCCCCTGTTGCCTCTCAACTTCCTCATATCAGGGAGATCATATGATAATTGTCTTTCTCTGAATGACTTATTTCACTAAGCATAATACCCTCTAGTTCCATCCACGTAGTCACAAAAGGCAAGACTGCATTTTTTAAAATTTATATTTTTTTAAACATATAATATATTTTTATCCCCAGGGGTACAGGTCTGTGAATCGCCAGGTTTACACACTTCACAGCACTCACCATAGCACATACCCTCCCCAATGTCCATAACCCCACCCCCCTCTCCCGACCCCCCTCCCCCCAGCAACCCTCAGTTTGTTTTGTGAGATTAAGAGTCACTTATGTTTTGTCTCCCTCCCGATCCCATCTTGTTTCATTTATTCTTTTCCTACCCCCCCAAACCCCCCATGTTGCATCTCCACTTCCTCATATCAGGGAGATCATATGATAGTTGTCTTTCTCCAATTGACCTATTTCACTAAGCTTGATACCCTCTACTTCTATCCACGTTGTCGTAAATGGCAAGATTTCATTTCTTTTGATGGCTGCATAGTATTCCAAAAATACATTATAGTCTTAAGGGTAAATGCTACAAGAATGGCTAAAGAATGTTTAACTGCCCAGCCAAAAGAGGTAACAATTTTATATATATATATATATATATATATATATATATATATATATATTTATATATATTTTTATATATATATATATATTAGGGGTGCCTGGGCCTGGGTGGCTTCATCAGTTAAGGGTCCAACTTTTTTTAAGATTTTATTTATCCATTTATTTGAGAGAGAGGAGGAAAGAGAGAGAGAGATGAGGGGGGAGGGGAGGGGCAGAGTGGGAGGGAGAGGGAGATAATCTCAAGCAGACTCCATGCTGAGCAAGAAGCCCAACTCAGAGCTCCATCTCACAATCCCAAGGTCATGACCCAAAGATCATGACCTGACCCGAATCCAAGAGTTGCCACCCAGGCACCCCAAGGGTCTGACTCTTCATTTCAGCTTGGGTCATGATCTCAGGGTTGTGAGATCAAGCCATTCTCTCTCTCCCTCTCCCCCTGCCCCTCCCCACCCCTATCTCCCTCTAAAAGAAAATATTAAATCATTTCAAGGAAAGGAGAGGAAAAGGGCCTTACCACAGGCAGAAATAAATGTGCAGTTAATATGGTATACAGAAACCAAGTTATATCTATATTTACATTAAAAGTTTCAGACTGGATATTCCAAATAGAAAGGTATTACAGGATTGGAAAGAAAACATTCCATCAAATGCTCCATAAGGAGACACATGCAAAATTTAAGGATTTAGAAAATTTGAAAATAAAAATAAAACTTGGCAAAATGTATACCATTTACACACTAACCTACTGAAAGCTGGTATACGCATATTACTAAAGGGAAAGGTATTCTTTCAAGGAGGAAAGAAAAAACATTACTAGAGAAAAGAGGGAGATTTTGTTGTGATGAAAGCTTCAATGCAAAAAGAAGCCACTAATACAGAATTCTAAATTTGTGTGCGTGTCTTAACACAGAACCAAAACATGCAAAGCAAACATGACTGTAAAAGGAGAAATGGATAAATTCATGATTACAGGGGGAAAACACCTCCTTGAGTGACATAAAATGGCAGATATAAATTCCACTAGGTGGAGATTTTAAAATGAGAATTAAGTAAATTAATAAATTTGCTTAATTGGCATGGAACAGTGCACATAACCACTACACATGGAACATTCCAGAATTGGTCATATGCTGGGTTATAAGGCAAACCTCAAGAAATGTCTATGGAGGTAGTACAATCTACCCTGAAGAGCTGATGTAAGAGTCAAGGGTAATGGTGGGTTCTCTGCCCCTCCCCAACCTCTAGTATGTATCCAAAGAATGTTAATTTTCACCACCACCACCGCCAAACCCCCGTCCCCTTTGCCTCCCACTCAGCTAACCTAGAAGACCCTCCCCACTCTCCAAACTCCGGACCTGTGAGGATCACATAAGTCAGGTCTATCCCCTGATAGACGTTGGGGGAAATTCACATCAGCCATGACCACTTCCACAGAAGAGGAGGTTTTTCATGTGGAACCAGGATGGGAATGTCAGGACCCAACAGCTCATTTCCTCAAGAGAGTGGAGAACAGTCAGCCTGGCCCCTCTCCACACTTCCTTTTAATGGGGGTTGGCTGGGTGTCCAGTGGGTGGGGGAAGGAACCTAGAACCCCTCATACCCTCTGGGGACCTGAGACCAAGGCCTCATGCTGACCAACTCACCCATGGTGTGGACTGAAGGCAGTGACCTGTCACCAATGTCCTCCCAGGTTGCTTGTGAAGAGAATCCGTGGGGTCTGGAGCTGGATGTTTGGAGATGATCAGTGACGGCTGCTGAGGAAGGTGAGAGCAGACCACAAACCACTTTGTCAGCGTCACACAAACAAGAAGGAGTCCTTACAGGAAGTCCCTTCCTTAAAGGCATGGGGAAGAGAGCATTGGCTGCCAGAGGAGGCTTTACTTCATATAATTACTGTCCCCTGAATTTGTTACCAGCCTACCAGGGAACTGTTTCCAACTGAATCAGCCCTGCAGAAAAGGCCAACTAGAATCAAGAGGGGTGGGACCCAGGTATCTGCAGCTACAAACAGGGAACTCTGTATGCCAGGCTCTGTATCCACTGCAACACATCTTGTTCCCTCATTCAGCCAACCCAGAGAACTCTGAGTGCCAGCTCTACGGCAGGCTCTGGATTTGCTACATTGCATCTGTTCTGTCATGGATTCCTCACGAAGGGACTCTGATATCAGCTTTGCAAGTTTGCTGTGGCTTAATGAGGTGCCAGAGCTTGTTTGGAGTTATTCAGATGTTACCTGGAGAAACAGAGACTACAGCTGAGCTCCATGGGATGGCAGTGACATGCCCATGCATATGTAGCCTAACTAAATTCTTACTGCAATATGTGGGATTTTTTTTTTTAAGTTAGAGCAAAATAACAGAATGTTCTGAAAATAATCACATGACTGGCATTATCTCTGTAAGGACCTATTTAACCAGAGGCTTCCATTAAGGTTAAACAACAACCTTGTTGTTTAACCCTTAAACTGTCCCTGCTCCCCTTCCCCCAGGGGACTAACTTGAAAACAAGTCCTGGAAACCAGCCCCAGGTAACAAAGCCCAGATACAAGGGTGGGTCAGGCCAGGTGGAAACATCCGATCAGTCGGGGGTTGCATACTCTCTCCCTAGCTACCAAGGAGTATGGGCCCGCCCTTCGGGAGCCTTTTGGGTGCCAATTCTAACAAGAATGTGCCAAATGCCTACTATAGGGTAAATTGTAATTCAACTGGTCACTTATGTGTGATCTAACATGACTGTGGAGTTTCCTGTGTGTATTACAATCTCATTGGCCACCTGTGCATGGCCAGGCCCGGCTGCATGGCCTTTGCCCTTAAAAGCTAGTCTGTGAAACAGAGAAAGGTCGCCCTCTCTGTAAGAGGCGTGGCCCTGGCCTGTCAGTTTGATTCTTGATGCTTGGCGCAGAAGGTAAGTAAGAATTTACAGAAGTCAGTCCAGCTTTGCTTGACCTTCGCTTTATATCAGTCTCGCTCCTTTAATCACAAACAAACTTACCCTCCCCCACCAAAAAAACAAAAGAAACCAAAAACAACACACACACACACACACACACACACACACACACACACACACACCCCAGACCTGGAAACTAAAAAGGAAATAGCAGAGTTTGGTGAGTCACTGTAATGAGACTAGAATGAAACAAATCATGCCTTTTCCTTTACCAAAAAATATAGTCAGCATAGGTAGATGCCCCTTGTGGTCAGAGACAACTGTAGTTCTGAAAGTCTCAGACCAGAAGGCTTTGCAAAGCATAAAGAAGGAGGGAGGCACCTGGGTTCCAGTGCATTAGTGAGAACACTCTGGAATTTTCCACTACTCTTTGGAATTTTCTACTCTTTGCCCACAATCCCTTCCTGGATCTCCATGCCCTGAGAGAGAAAATTCAGTCCCTGAGAGAGGTGAAGAAAACTCTGACATTTGGGGGCAAAGGAAGTGTAAGACAGAAACACGTGCGAGCACGCGTGCACACACACACACACACACACACAAACTGTTAAATCTAAAGCTGAAATTTATATTTGCTAATTAAACAGCATCATATGAACATTTTCATAACATGGTAAGTATATGTGAACTTTTCTTGTGAATTGGCTATTAGATGTTTTCAAGTGTTTCTCTCAACAAATTTGCCTAATTGCAAAATGCTAAACATTAAAATGTATACTTAGAAAATGAAATCATTCTGCACCTTCCATCTGTATGATCCCCTTACCCCAACTCACAAATATACAAGACATCCAATGTAAATAGATTGGTACACATTTTCCAGAGGTGTTTCTCTTTATGTAACATGTACTCCTACCTTAATATATTTGTGTAGTTATGTGGTTATAGATACACACTTTTAAAAATTTGCAATCACATAAGTAATTTTCTACAAATTGATTTTTTCACTTACTTATTACAACATCTCCAGGTTGCCATTTCTTCAGTTAATGCGGTGTGGCATCTTTCCAGATGTGTACTGGAGAAGCATTTTTCTTTTTATGTAAATAATTTGTTATTGTTTGTCCCTTTCTCCACTGATAAACAAAAGTCCTCCATTTTCTAGCCCAGCAGCACGAATTCTGTAATGTTTGCAAAAATGTACTCCCATCTTTTCAAACTTTTATTTTTTTTCTTTTGATAGTACAGAAATTGCTTTAATTTTCATGGGTTTTCTTCATTTAAAAACAATACAGCTACAACAGAAAACAAAACAAGAAACACTTAGGGTTGCATCAAATACTAGCCCAGTGAGAATTCATCATTCAAAGCATCGAAGACTTCAGGGCACAATGGAAAAAAGCTTCACACCTAATTTTACGTGTGTAAATAAATGGGGAAAATAACTGAATAAGGTTATTGGAGATACCATGTAAAGTGCCTCTGGCTTAAAATAATTCTGTAAATGATCATTTCCTTCCCTCCATGGAGGTCGCTTTTCCTCTGCTTCTGGTTGAGACCCACACACACCACCCCCAGGACAGTGGTATCCTTATGGCCCCCTATCCAGGCCTCCAGGCCTGGAGAATGGGATTTCATCTCCACCATCATCTTTAAGACAAAGGCACTGGGGAAAAGGTTGTTTGAGTACCCTGTCAGCATGACATGAACACCTGGGGCATTCAAAACCAGATATGTGACTCAAGAAAGACTTTTAACTCTGTTACAAATTTAATTGGACAAATTAAAAGGAAGCTAAAGAAAAAAAAAAAAAAAAACCTTCTCTATCCCAAACAGAAATGTCACATATAAAGAACACAAATTATTGGGAAAATGCATGGAATGTGTTTTAGAGGCAAATGTTTAATATCCTATTATATACATAAATCTGATTAAGGAAAGATTATCATTTGAAGTCCACTGAAATAATTCAAATAAGAGCTATACATTACAAATTTATAAGATTAAACATGTACAAAACAATTACACATGCATGTATGTATGTTTGTGTGTGCATATATTTCCGTGTGTGTGTGTGTGTGTGTGTGTGTATAACATGGAGAATTGCATATACAGATTGTGGGCAAAATTTTGAAGAATACTTATGTTCGTGTAAATGTACTTATATATTACTGTGCACAGGGAAGTATATCTGGGGAATATAAATGAAATTATCAAGGAAATACATCTTGCGGTGAAGATAAAAAATTCATACAAAAATATTTTTTCAATAAATACACGTTCCTACATTGCATTTGATTTTGAAATAAACACATTAACCTGAAATCCAAAAAAACTGACATAAGATTTTACAGCATGGTAGTATATACCCAGTTGGAAATTTCCCTACAAAAATTGTATATGTGTGTGTGGCTTAATTGTATATATCCAAATCCATATAGTTTCTTCCACATTATTTCTGTCTCTCAATCACACGCCTATAGGTTTCCTGTTATAGTTGTTACATATGTACATATATGTATATATATCGGTTCCTGTTATAGTTGGGAGAGAAGGGCTAAAGAAAAGTTCTTGCTGCTGAATTTAATGTGCATGGGCTCTGACTCACCCTCAATGCTTCCTTTGCCACAAAATCTCCAGAAGTTTCCCTCTGACTGGGGCCTTGCTCCCTTCCTCCTTCCTCCTTCCAAGGTTCCCTGGTAAGTGACGGCTAAGCTGCCATTCTAGATATGTTCATCAGATGACATGGACCTCCAATTCCTGAATTTTCTCCAGTGAAAAATATTATTTGGGAAATGGAGAGAAGAATCATTTAAAAGTTACATTTTGCACTGTGAGTGATGAAAGGGCATATAAATCAAAATCATGCTCAAACTTCTTTACCTAATGATTTTCTTCTTCTTTGTGGTTTCACGGAGCAAAATCATAGTAATAACATCACACAACTTTTAGAGGGCTGGTGGAGATTATAAGCCTGAGGTGGGAGCAGAGAGGGCAGAAAGGGTTCAGGAAATTTCTACAATTGTCTTGTTAAGTATTAGAAAGTTTTTCTCAGCATGCCAAACTGCTGTGTAAGGAATTTCCACACTGGTTTTCCCAAGGGATGAGGCAGGTTATAAGGTATTTCCTTCCTGTTGTATCTGGTTAGTCCCCACCCTCTCCTATTCTGTTGGCTAATGCCTCCTTAGCCTCCAGTCTCAGTTTAAACATTCACTTCCTGTGAGAAGTCTCAGACACACCCTACTGGTTTGATTACCTTTAGGCATCTAGTCACTCCATCACCTTTACCGTCTCCAGGGACACATTTCCTGTGAAATGGGACAAAAGACTGTGAGCTCAAACGTTCTCCTGGGCTGTGGCTCCACAGGGTGGGATAAAGATTCTGAAGCTTTTCAAATATTTTACCTGAAGATTTGCCACGGATTTGTCTCTCCTACTTTTGAGGGGGATGTTCAGGACACAGGTCCGTTCAGAAATTGAACTCTAGGGTTGTTCCACAGACAACAGTGAGGGCGTGTACCTCAGAGAAGCTGTCGAGGCTGCAGACTGATGCTTTGTTCTCTAAAAAGAGCCAACGAAAGTACTGTAATGACAGTCTGTGAGTTTTAGGAGATGTGGTTTTGCATGGCAGGGAACAAGTGAAACTTCCAGAGGTAGAATTGTGGGTTAGAAAGTTGTTCGTAGAGGTGGTGATATTTCCTTCACTCTGAAGCATAATTAACATACAGCATTATATTAGATTCACGTGTACAATATAGTGATTCAATAATTTTGTACATTACTCAGTACTCCTCACAGTAAATGAACTCTTAATGCCCTTTATCTATTTCACCTATCCCTCCACCCACCTCCTCTCTGGTAACCACCAATTTGTTCTCTTTAAGAGTCTGTTTTCTTTTCTTTTCTTTTCTTTTTTCTTTTCTTTTCTTTTCTTTTCTTTTCTTTTCTTTTCTTTTCTT